TTAATTTGCTATAAAATTCATAGCATTAATTTAATGTTTGATTTAATATTTTATAGTCTTATTTAATGAAATGAGTTGTGTCAAGCAAATATTTTAGCTGAAAGCTTAACAGGAGGAGCACATGGAATTTGATTAGAAAATGGGTATATAATCTGTTACAATAAAATAAAATTGTAATGATCCATTAGAGAATGAAATATACTGTATATCTGTACCTTTGAGTCAAATTTTGACCCCTGGAGACCACCTGGGCAAGTCCCTGTTATTTCTCTATGTCTGCCTGATTTTCTGTTTATTTCAAAATAAAATAAAATTATACAATGGCAAAATAAATGATGCCAAGCAAGCTATTAATCTGTTGCATAAAAAAGTTAGATAAATAATATCAGGTAATATGGAAAAGGTAGAGCTGCTTAACATATTCTTTGCATCTGTCTTCTCTCAGAATCCTCACCAGATTTTTCAAAGTTTTATAACTGGTTGTGTTTTATAGTTTTGAACGTGATAGTTAATGATTATTGCTGAAGTTTTTATTCTTTGATTGGTAGCTGCCCAGAGATGGCTGAAAGATGGGCGGCTATATATACATTTTAAATGAACAAATAAAATAAAGCTCTTCCTCACATGATCCAGGAAAGGAAAAAAAAAGAAAAAAACAGTTCAGAATTGTTAAAATATGGAAAGAACCCACATTGCAATCTTATATAAATTTGTATATTGAGGAACATATGAATTATATTCCAGGTTTATAAAAAACCTGGTAAAAGTGATCTTTGAATTGCTGCCTGTAATCACTGAAAACCCTTGAAAAACCTGTGAGCTGCAGAAATTGGGGAAGAGCATGTGCGCTTTTAATATTCAAAAAGGGGAAAAGGCTTCTAGTGGTGGTGGGGCTCTAGAAGAGCTCAGACAGTCCTGATGGTGTTGCCTAGGTTGGGTAATGAAACATCTGCAAGAAAACAAGCAAGCTCAGAGAGCACTAAGGAACTCTCAATATGAGGGGGAGGGGGGAACTACCATTCCCAGGTCCTAACATGTAATTTCTGAAGAACAAATCCAGTAATATCAGATGAACCTTTCCTTCCTCTTTTTAAAAAACAAATTAAATGACAAGGTAACTAGTGTGGTCAACCAAGGTACTGATCTAGATGCAGCGGTGAGTTTCACATTATGGTACTACCAGTTTGCCACGCACGTGTATGTTTGCTCCATGTGCACCTGCTTCGGGCACGCTTGCCTTCCACGCATGCGCCCAGCCTTCCACACATGCGCTTTGCTTGCGCGTGCACCTTCCATGAGCCCGGCCTCAAAAACGTGCCCGCAACTTCCGTTACCGGTTTGGGCGAACTGTTCCGAACCGGCTGAATACCACCTCTGTCTAGATGTTCAGCTAGTCCTCGATTTATATCCACAATTGATCCCCAAATTTCTCTTGTTAAGCAAAGCAGTTGTTAAGTGAGAGGCGCCCCATTTTAAGATCTGTTTTGCCACAGATGTTAAGTGAAGCACTGCAGTTGTTAAGTGAATCATGTGGTTGTTAAGTGAACCTGGTTTCCTCTATTGATTCTGCTTGTTGCAAGCTGGCTAGGATGGTTGCAAATGATAATCACATGACTGGGGACAATGCAACCAATATAAATACATGCTAGTTGCCAGTTTTTAAATTTTGATCACAGGACCATGGGGATACTCTGATGGTCGTAAGTGTGAAAAACGAGTCATGAGTCACTTTTTTCAGCGCTGTTGTAATTTCAAACAGTCACTAAATGAATGATTGTAAGTCAAGGACTAACTGTAGTGTGTCACTCTCATGATATCCTTGTGGGACAAGGAGAAATGTAGCTAAACAATACTAGGTCAGATACAAAGGATGTTTGTTAATAGTTCTGCATCGTTTTGGAATGAAATATTTGGTGAAATCCCCAAGGTCTCCATCCTTGACTCACTGCTATTCAACTTCTTTATAAATGGATTGGAGGATGAAATGGAAGGATTGTTTATCAAATCTGCTTAAGCATTAATCTAGGATTAGTTAATGATTTAAAGAACAGCATCATAATTAAAAATGACCTTGACGGTCTTATGGTAGTCTTAACAGGCTCAAACCAACAGGATGGTTTTCACTTGTGACAAGCCTTTTGGTAGGAAACATCAAAAGCATAATTAGGGAGTGGGAAGGTTTGGTTTTTGGCAATGCAAATGAAAATCTAGGAGTACCAGTGTACTGCCAGCAGAACATGAGCAATCCCTGTGATGCAACAGCACTCCTGGCCTGCATTAACCAAATCATTGCATTTGGTTCACCAGAGGCAATCATTCCATTATACTTGCTGGCTGCTGGCTAGACCATATTTGTAGTGCTATGTCAATGGATACGGAGAAGCAGGAGTGAATTCAAAGGAGAGCTACAAGGATGATAGAAGATCTGGAACTCGCCACCTATGAAGAATTGTGAAAGGTGTCTGGCTTGTTATAAAAATAAAAACTAAGTGGGATGGGGTGATAGTGGTTTACAAATATATGACAGTCCTAGTAAACTGAGATTCTGTCAACATAATGAAATGTTTGTCGTGTGGCATGTAAGTTTTGCATCTTACATGCCCTTGTGAACCATCATGGCTTATATTCAAAAGGATCTTGCATTATGATAGGATGCACATTTGATCACTTCCCCCTGTAGAGGTCCATGCGAAACACTGTGATGGGCAAGAAGTGGTATTCTGTGTTGAAAGTGAAAACAGGGTATGGACCAGTGGTCAAATTAAAAAAAAGGAGCTTAAGGCTAAAGGACTTTTCTAAGCTGTTAAATAATGGATCCATCTTCCTGGAATAGTTGTTGACTTCCCACTGCTGAAGGTTTTATAATGGGGACTGGGTACCCACTTCTCAGAGGCAGTTTAATGGATTTCTGAGCTGAACAAGAGTACTGGATTCTGACTTTAGTTTAAATATGCCTTCCAACTAATAAATTCCATAATTCATTCTAATCCGCTTTGCTACAATTTATTTTCTTTAGAATGAAAAGTTGTCTTCAAGCTGACATAAGGATGCAGTTAAAATTCTTCAATGAAACTTTAGAGGGCCACAGTAGTGCCTCGATGAATTTTTTAAAAAGTTCAAGTATATAGATATGCAAAATTCTGACAATCCCCCACTCTACACATACACTTTAATTTCCCCCCCTCTTCAAAACATGCTTAAAGTGTTTGCTTAAATATTTCCTCATCTTTGTTGATCTCATTACTTTCCACAATTTATTTATTTATTTATTTATTTATTTATTTATTTATTTATTTATTTATTTATTTATTTATTTATTTATTTATTTATTTATTGGTTTGATTTATATGCCACCCTTCTCCGGAGACTCAGGGCGGCTTACAATGTGTTAAGCAATAGCCTTCATACTTTTGTATATACCTGCTTAGTAGGGCTTTTGCCCCCCCCACCCCCTAAGCAGTGTTCTTTTTTTTATACAAAGTCAGCTTATTGTCCCCACAATCCGGGTTCTCATTTTACCTACCTCGAAAGGATGGAAGGCTGAGTCAACCTTGAGCCTGGTGAGATTTGAACTTGCAATAAATGCCCATTCAGGGCATTTTGACCAGTGTTCTAAGATGTAAACAATGATGCCAAGCAAACATCTTGACCATGTTTCTGCCCTGAATGAGCAGTGAATCCTAAGCACTTTATGGAAAAGGATGAGTACAATGTTTTTCTTAATATTCATCACATTGGAACTTTTTTTTTAACTTAAGAAATACATGCATAGAATCACTTGCTTGTCAACATTTCCTTCCTTCCTTCCTTCCTTCCTTCCTTCCTTCCTTCCTTCCTTCCTTCCTTCCTTCCTTCCTTCCTTCCTTTCTTACTTACTTACTTAAGCTTAAACAAAATGTAAAAGATAGGGTTGTGAGCAGAAGCAGGCAGGTGCTTTGAACTATAGCCTTCATTATCTTTCCACTGGAAATATTGGCTTAGCCTTAGCCTAACAGCAGTTGAACACCAAAACATCTGGAAAATATTGGCTTTTCTAATCCATTTTACTTTCCATTCAGGCATATTAAAATTATTCTGATAAGAATGTGCGAATTCATCACATTCAAAACGGCCTGGCAATGAAGACAGCAGATTCCCTTTATTAAACAAAGATGATTGTGTAACATTCAGGGAGGATAATCAAACTCAAGTTGAACACTTTTGTTTTCCTTTCACTTAGATAAAATCAATGGATTATCAAAGCATTCAGTTGAAACTGGATTATATTTCCTATTGCCATGTGTGTTGAGAACGATCTGATAAAGCTCTGCCTGGTTTTATGTGTACTGCAGGTTGAGTGAGTGTGTTCACATGTGCACACAGAGTCTACCTGGGCAGGAACTTCCTTAGCTAGCAAGGACCCAAAATTATCTGAATAGCTTGTCCTGGGGGAGTCCTCAGCATTGGGCTTTAGAGCAAACAGGAGGACTTCCTTTTTCCAAAACCCTATTGATTCCAGTGCATTTTTTCTTTGTTTTCACAGTTAAGAAAAAATTCTAAGGGATTTTGCGTGTTTGACTCAAAAGGGAGAATTTATTTATGAGCAATCAATAAGAATACCTCTGCAGGTTCATGAATGGATGATTTCATTGCAGTTGCTGAGTTGAAAGGTACTCAGTTTGACTGTTTAAATCTCATTGATCCCTTTCCATCCCAAAGAGCTTAATCAGCCTAAATCTTGCTGGGGAGTGGCGGCGGGGGAGGTTACAACAACCTTGTTGATTTCAACATGATGTTCATAAAAGTTTTATTGGTTTGAAGGGGGAGATCCCTGACTTTCGCAGTATTTAATCACTTTCCCCGTATGGCTGATTATAACATAAACTATTAACAGTCTCAGATAGTAAGGGCATATTGGAAAAGCTGAAGCTATAATTTATTTTCCCTGATTTTCCTTTTTTTTTTTTTACTAGTTCAGTCATAGTATAATTTTTATTTAGCATTACTGTGTTTATTTTCAGGATTCTATTGGAATCTATCATTTGACTGCCATATTTTCAATATTCATGCATGAATAGGTAAGGAGAAATTTTATATATATCTACTGGAATTCAGAGTACTTAAATTGCAGATAAGTGATTTAAGTCTTAAGTACACGGATTCCTCTCTGTACAAGAAATTATTACAATCTCTCAACACAAGCAATTACGAGCGGTTTCAAAATTAAATTATGTTAGCAATGTTGTAAACCAGTCTATTTTACATTATACTATTATTATTGCTCCCAGTGTTGATTTTTCTTATATTTTGCAAGCATCTGTTAAATTATGACATGTACGTCAAAGCTAACATCCTGTGAAAATTATATATGATGTTTCATAGCAGAGATAAATAAATGACAGTAAGTTAAAGCTAGCCATATTCTGTTTAGAAACCAGGCTCGTGTTAAATTACTGCCAGGGAACCGTTCAAATTACATGCCCAAGCGATGGCTTGTGAGAAATCCATCAGAACTGGAAGAGAGAATAGAACAGCCATTCTCTCTACCTGTTTGTGTAGTTTCTTACTAATGCAGGACAAGCCAGACTGTTTATTTGCAGAAGTAAAGTTGTGGAAATATACTTGCAGAGTGTAATATGGACAGCACGTGTTCCTATGAGCTACCTGAAGTCTGTGTCCTAATCATTTGCAGATGTCTCTGGATCATTGATTTCCTATGGGCCAAAGAGCACCCCCCTTCCCTCCCCTCCTAGTCCTTCAAATTAGAAAGAAAGAAAGAAAGAAAGAAAGAAAGAAAAGGGAGAGAGAGAGAGAGTAAAGAAAGAAAGTGAAAGAAAGAAAGAAAAAGCATTCACTTCTCAACTTATAAAATAGTTCATTTAAGTTGTTTCCAAATATCGAATCATTTGGATAATTTAACTGCCAGGTCCACACTCATTTGGAATAATGATTTATTTTAGAAATAGAAAAATCTGTTCAGAGATTGCTTGAAGTTTGCTCAAGGTGGGGAGTATGTTTACACATGGAGAATTTGTTTTAAAAACTCAGATTTGCTTTACTCCATAATATGTACAGATTGCCAAGTATATGGCTTTGTATGAGTGTAAGCAGGGATACAAATTTATATGCCACTGCTATTTATATACCACTGGTTTGTATGCAATAACTCATTATATCTGGACATTTTTCCTTAGTTATTCATTAATTCTAGATGATAGCACCCATACAGTCCATGATAAAAATGCTTGCCTTTCCCTGGATGACTGATGAAGTTAATCAAAATCTCCAGGGAAAGTCTATAACAGGCAGTAGCATAATACAATTAGGACATGCCTAATCAAAAACACTGATTAAAAGAAATATCTGAAGATACTGATAGAGACTACTATTGTATTCAGCATGGTAAACTAATAAACCAGCCTGTAGCCTGATAAATTGCCTGGAATTGAGCCTTTTGATTTACAAATTAGTTCATCTGGAGTCTTCCTCCTAAAAGTTGCAAATGGCATACAGGATTATTGCCCTCATCCCAATTTTATTGTCGGAACAAAGTAGTAGAGTAGGCTAGGCTAAAAAAAACAACAAAAAACAGACTAGTTTTTACACTGACTTGAGTTTATCTCTCTGTTACAGAATATAGAATCAGAGTGGAATGATTTGTGTTAGAGAATATAGGAACTCCTTTTGTGAAAGACCGAGTCTCAGTTGTGCACTGTACACCTGTGTGGTGAGATGGCAAGGGTTCTAATTCTGCCTCTCATCATGTGCCTCAGAGCAGTAGATGTTTGTGAGCATATATGATAAACCCAGTGCCCTTGTGTTTACATCAGTAGTGGGTTGCCCCCGATTTGCACCGGTTCTATAGAACCGGTAGTAAAACTGGCGGGAGGCTCCGCCAACTGACCCCAACGTCACTAAAACGCTTCTGCAAACCGGTAGTAAAGGTAAGTAGAACCCACCCCTGGCTTGCATGCATACCTATGCCCATAAGTGGGAAATAAAAATATGAGTGTGTAGTAGAGGTCCTGGCAGTGCTGCGGGCAGATAGTCTGGTGTAGTCTAAAATTTTGAGTTGTGACTGTCACAGTCCCTTGCCCTGTTGGAAAGCTCAAAATATATGGAGCACCCTACTTTTCCTTCTCTTGACCTAGACTGGTCCCAAGACACACACTCCCTCAGTGTTTTAGAAGGTGTAGAGACTGTAGTGATCTGAATTAATAATGGCCTTCTAATCCACAGTTTATCATACTCTAAATTTGAGCTACATTTCTGTTTCTCTCCCCAATTTCATAGCATTTAGAGTTGTAGCTGCGGATGCCTCCGATATACATGAGCTCGCACACGCATACACATATCATCAACCTATATTTGTTCGGCTGTGTCCTTCGTGCCATTTTATGTTTTAATAGGTGGAAAACGTTATTCAAACAAAAGAAGCAAATATCTCCAAATAATGGCAGGGAACACAAGCAGCAAATATATCATTGCAACTTCGATCAAAGGAGGTCTCGTTGCTACCCAACTTTTGCAAAAACATGCACATTTATTCCTATGGTTTGGGAGACATCCCAAACCCTAGGATAATCAAACATGGGTTTACCTAAGAAGTTTGCACAGTCAAGTTCAGATAAATAATACTTTGGCATGATCATGGTTCCTGCCATGGTTTTATTGTATCAGGTGTCACAGATACCTTTCCTAGACATAACTTTGAAGTGGAATAATCTTATATCAAAAATATCTGTTATGAAAATTGCAAGTCCTTTAAATATGATAAGGGGGGGGGGGAGTGAAAGCCCTACTAAGCAGGTATATATAAAAGTATGAAGGCTATTGCTTAATGCATTGTAAGGCGCCCTGAGTCTCCGGAAAAGGGTGGCATATAAATTGAACAATAAATAAATAAATAAATAAATAAATAAATAAACAAATAAATAAATAAATAAATAAATAAATAAATAAATAAATGCAAATGTGGCATATGATGATATATAACACCAGAGAACATAAAAATTTAAAAGAGGGGGCATAGATTCAGAAAGAAAAAAATGTAAAACCTTATCGAGGATTCAAAACAATTCACATATACGTTATTTCAACAAGCTGAATACCAAAATGGTACAGGGACCAACAGATCGTTATTCCTGTGCTGCAGAAGAGTGGCGATTCAACCAAAATCCTTCATATAATTTGTAGATCGGAGATCTGAACTGGGATTTCAAGGATTGCAGCTTTCATATTGATCTCCAGTTCTAGATCTACATAATTTTTTTTTCCAACAAGATTTTTAACGTACTGTCCCAGAGGAACATATTAAGGGGGAAAATGTCCTACCACCCTCAAGACTTTTTTAGATCTTTCTGAATGAAGGAACAAAAAAGGGATAGAAATAGCATCCGGGATGGGAGAACCTACCTTGACAAGGAGGACTTTGGTCTTGTAATTAGGACGCTGGGCTGCCTAAATGCTTGTTTGATAAGAAGGGTCTGATGGAGGAGTTCCTGCATGCTGTGTTTTAAAACATGCTTCGAAACTACTTGGGATTATTCCCTCACAAAGCTGTCCCCAGGTAGTTAACATTCACCAAAATATTGATGACAGTCACCTTTCCTGCCAGTGCTTATCTGAGACGAGTTGAGAAGCAGCTTGGCAGAGCCTGAAAGGATCTATTGTATTGCCTTTATTTTTTAGAAGAGAAGGCGGGAGGGGGGAGAGAAGGAGAGGGCGGGCTGTATGAGTACAGATTGGAAACAAAGGAAGAATATGGTTCTTTTCTTGCTATGACAGGTTCATGATGACATTCCTTGAGAACAGCTTATTATTTTGCCCTCAGAAATTGCCTGGCAGTGTCAAACGTTGCTTTGGCTGGACCTGAAGGAAAACAGGGTCTTTGATGATGCCTTCGGTGACTGATGGTTTTGAGGAGCAAGTGGCCCATAATTACAAAATGGGGGTTGGCAGGAGCAAAGGGTGGAGTGGCTTGGGGATGAGTGGGGTGTAAATGGCAGGAAGCAGACTGAATGACCTTTAGGGGGGCTGATGTTAGAGATGGAGTTCAAGGCTAAGCATCAGTGCAACAGAACTCTGTTGCAGAGTTCTGTAAGTCCAGTGGAAGAACAACTTAAGAATGGTGACAGCAGCTAAGTATCTCTCCCTTCATGTGCCATTGATGGTCCTCATTATGGAAATCTATTTCACAGCGGAGGTGGGCATGTCCATATAGTTTTCATGGCAACGGAATAAAAACTAGGATCTCCTGATGGTATCCCATTCAGGGACAGATTTGCTATGACTTTGATTAGTTTTTTTTTTTTTAAGTTTAGCCAAAGTCAACCAGAGGCTGCCACCTGCTGTGGCATTTTGGCATTAGGTTCTCTAGAGGAATATGTACAAAACGTAGTTCCAAAGCAAATTTGTAGAGGTGTTTGGGACAAAGGGTTACAAGGAATCAAATACATCTGTACTATTTGTAATATTTATTTGCAGGGCTGCTAAGTCTCATGTCATCCTCTCCTTGAGAGATGTTTACTAAGCGACCTAATTACCCTTTGACTTTCTCAGCCTCTGATTCAGGAGCAGAGGAACCCAAAACATTCAATATGATGTTTCCTTATATTGTACCACAGTTATACTGTGCCCTGTTGATTCTACCAGGTCCCACATCCGAAGTTCCCTTACTTTGCCGCTGTTTTCCAACTCTTACTATCTACCACCAGGCAAGTGCCTCACTTTGCCTGATGGTGGGGCCTGATCCGTTTATATCATACAGTTAATTCCCGAGAGAAAAAGGAAATAGGCCTAACATGCAAAGATGTTTTGGTATGCATATTGCATCATATTTTGGTAGGCATAGGACACAGTACTGTGTGAATGCTTTGCTTTAACTGGCTTAAGCATGTTTAATGTTGCCTATGACTGTGGCCAGGAAGTCAGTTTTGCAGTAGGTTAAGATGAGCACATCAAATGCATATGTCATCAAGAGTCCCATGTTTAAGTTTAATACCTGGTGGCTCAGCAGACTGATAGCATTGTGATTAACACCAGCTGTCTGCAATTACTGTAAATTCGAATCTCACCA